TATATATATATATATATATATATATATATATATATATATATACATATGAATCAATGTGCATTAAATACATATTTATATATATAAACAAATACACATGAATCAAGTTGTATTAAAGATAAGAGATTTTGAATTAAATGACCCTAAAATGGACATTTATATTTTTTTAACTCACATTTTGTTCTATGTATTTTTTGCCAATAAGTTTAATTAGGTGTACTGACTTCCAAAAAATCCAATAAAAATAAGATATCCCTCCCGGGGGTTGGTTTGGGGCATCATCTTGGGGTTTGCTGTTTTAACAATAATAAAGGAAAGTTACATCTAAACTGCCTGAAACCGACATTTAAAATATTTTATAAACATCTTTTGAAATTTGTATACATGTAATATTTAGATATTTATCCTCAATATTTATTAGTATATTCGTTAATAAATTAAACTTAGACCTCTTTAAGTTTGTAGGCATGTAACTTTGACCTTCAAGTTTAAAATATTATATTTAGATAAAAAATATTTCAATTAAAAACAGAATATCAAATATTTTAAATTTTACAACCAAAATTCATACTATATTATGTCATTTATTGAAATAAAATTATAATTAGTATTATTGATGCTAAAATTTGGATGATTGTTGGACTTCGATCACCTAAAAAAGATGTCAGAAATCATAAGGAAGCTCTAGAGGTCGACTCTTTGATGTCTAAGTCGGTAAGTGACTCAAAAGTATAAACTGCATATAATAATCAATATACATATATCAAAAGAATTCAATTTAACACTCATTTGTATACAATTATACTGTCTATTGGTATAAAACTAAAAAAGAAACTATAATTGACTCAATATCTTCTATCTGTAATTGAAATAATTTACTCATTTAATATATTCCGTTAGTTCCATACCTAATAAGAGATTTAAGTATAATACTTCAAATTTGAAGGGTTTAAGTATTATATACTAATAAGTTTTAGGTAATTTAAGTGTAATTTATTAATGAATATATTAACGGACATTGATGGGTCTAAATGTTATACGCATACAAACTTCAAGAGGTCTGTGTGTAATATTAGACGTCTAAATAATTAAGTGACAAATGTGAAGGAATCTGAGTATAATTTTTCTCAAAAGTAAAGACTTTGTTCAAAAAATATGTATGTATCCTCTACGTGTATTCATTAAAATAATAATAATAATAATAAAAAGAAGGAAGTATTGATCTATCTTATGCATAAGAAAACAAGAGGATGACAAACTTTTTTTTCGGAAGGCATAGGATGACAAACTTAACAACGTTGTAATTCCTAAAAACAGATTTGAGCATCATCTTCTTACAGGAATTGCGCTTCACCTGTAACATTAGTTTCTTCTTTCCAACTGTACCCTTAATTGGCGTTCAGTTTAACTTTGAACTCAACTAGGGGTCATTAGAGCTCAGGCTGTAACACTAGGGTTCAAACTCCGGTTCAATGGTCAATCGAAATTCATGTTGAATAAGAATTTGATAACCCTCGTTGGATCTTGAATAAGACAGGCCCCAACCCAAGTATCAAAGATTGCTACCCCAATGGACAATATTTCAAGTTGCTTAACTTCTTACATGATATGAGTTTTTGTTATTGAATGCACTTAATTCACTAAAATTATTATATTTTTTGTCTTGATTTGGGGATTGGGTTATCACACAACTTTCTCATATACATTTTTCACTAGGCTCGTCAATGGATTATATTCT